TCTTGGTCCGCTTGGTGATCCCGGAGTTGTAGATCATAGGCCAGGTGGCGTGGGTATCGGCTAACCAGGTCGTCCAAAGAGGGCACTTCCGAAGTTCAGAGTTTTGGAAGGTGAGGCATGGGAGGAGATTCACAAAATAGTGAGTTTGAGGGGAAATAAAATGGGATAATATGCATTAATATACACAGAAATAAAAACTTGGCGTCAGCCTGGTCGAGGAAACAAGCTGGTACGAAACAGATATTGGATTGTAGGTTTTCTTGGTCCGCTTGGTGATCCTGGCGTTGTAGATCATTGGCTAGGTGGAGTCGATATCAACTAACCGGGTCGTCCAAACGGGCACTTCCGAAGTTCAAAGCTTGGGAAGATGAGGTGATGGAGGAGATTCGAAGGTCTCGTGCATCTGAGTGGCCAATTCAAACTATCTATTTTGGCGCAGAATGTCGCACATTGGAGCAGCAATGGTGTTGAAATCTTTGACAAACCGACAGTTGTGTACCGTTTTTCCGCGAAACTGCCATAGTGACCACTTCGAATTGGTGAAAGCTCATCTCAGGATCCTTGACAGATTTTCCACCAGCGGCAAATTCCCCTTGAGCCGCCCAGTGTCCAAACGATCCACCCGAACTACGGGCGGGCTGTTTCCTGGCATTTACCCGCAGGCCAGCGTCCTGAGTACTCTTCAGTTTGGCTGTCAGGCGCTCTCAAAGAATCCGCTATCAAAATTGGCTTATTTGTGTCTGAGCTGATCAAAAACTCTTGCCACTCCGACCTTTCATTCGGTATCCAGCTGCCGCCTTCATGGATAGAGCGCAAGATTTGCTTTCAACTTCGTTCTCTTTCTACCTCAGCAACACCTCTGTTGCAACTTCACATATATTTAAAATTGCCTCCAATCTTGTATGACTGCCTTCCCGGTTAACAATTCAAAAGGACCGCACTTTTTGAACTCTACTCTAGCTCTTTCTCACACCAAAATGTTCACAGCATGCGCACCACTCGCAAGTGGACCATTCATGAGCAGCGCAGGTTCGTACGTCCGAATAATGACCAGTACGGTAATAGCACGCGAATGGCATTTGAAATGGTTTGTGCATCATGATGTTTGCCTGCACCGTGTCCTCAAGTGATCACCCGGCACACCAGTTACTTCATCCGAGAGTACGAGATGTATACCATCAATAGCTATGATCAGCGGTCGCGAGCAACATGTCACCAAAGCATGCAACTGGACTATTCTACCTGTTAATTCCTTCACTTCAAAAAACATAGTTACGGCCAAATCAATTTCGGTTTTCTCCCGGCGACTGACACACCCGCAGGATGTTGGAAATAAGTTAGTTTGACGAGTTTCCAGCTGAAAACTAACCTGAGTAATTGTCAACTTATTTTCAAGCTTCCCGCCTGTCTAAATTTTGGCTAAAATAACCATAAGAAAAACCGGTTAAGTAAGCCTCATTTGCGCGGGCTTTCTACTTCTGCAAGATGATTTTGGATGACTGTTGAGTTTCGTCATGTATTATGGGCTGATGATTTGGATTAGCCCACGAAGTCGCCCCATACACTCCCGGTAAGTATTCCAGTGCCGCCTCTTTGTCTCTCCTGTTTAATTTATTTGTGACCTCTCATGGGGCATCAACACCAACCCTAATCTCCTCGCCACCCGTATGCAGTAGTCTGCTCGTCGTTTGGGAATTTTTATCAAAACTTGCTCTCTTTGGGATTCTTTTTCCCATACTTTGTAGTCACTTTTTGTCTGTTTTGGTTCCGAGTTATCTTAAATATCTACATTTCAATTTTTTCTCGACCCAACAGCATTGTCTGCAGCTCATGAGCGTGGGATTACCTGACAGTTAGAATTTGGGCTAATTTATTTTTCTTTAGGTATTAAGAGCCTCCTGAGGTTATCTCACTAGCATGAAAGTCGCACAATACAAACAAACTCCAGTAAAACTGTTTTCTATTCCGCACCGTTTTACCGCTACAATTTTGTAAGCACTTGTGCACGGAAGGACTTGCAGTCATTCATGCGAAAACACAAAATAAGGCTTAGGTTCCATACTGCATGAATCATGGCTTAGTAAACTTGCAGCGGTGGCATGGGTCTTTTTGTTTTGACTTAAATGGCAGAGACTTCACCTAAAGAAGCGGATGATTAACGCGGACTGTCAAATCAATCCAGATAAGATATAAGCTTTTCATCTGGTCATGGATCTAGAGGTTGGCTGAGATCAAAAATATTATGGTGCCATGATGTAAGAAAGCACTGAATAGGAATAAGTGAGTTTGTGCTGGGCCAGATAAGGGCAGGCTCAGGTATCAACGCAGATAATAGATTCCTAACCCCACACGCTTCCTGGTGAACTTCTCCTTATCCGCTGGGAATCAACACAGTTATGACTAACTCGGCTATAGCCAGTTCGATGTTCTGCCACACATTTGGTTTGCCCCGCTTACCTATTCACAGATTTTACTGAAGGTGAACCTTGAGCCTAACGCCTTAGAACTACGTGCCCTTTGTAACAAATTCCGCAAATAACAAATCCCCAACAGCAGTTCCAGTTGATGTGTCATTTTTAATGTGTGACGCTTCCGATGAAAACTTCTCACTTATATCTAGTGTAAACTTTTCAACTCATCACCACTCATAGTTTACGCGACGCCGTACACGGAGCCAGCTAATCAAAGTCATATTTCGTCAGTAGCGGTTGGCAGCTTTAGGTCAAATTGAAGGACTGTTTCCGTACAATAGTTGTACCTGCATCCTCATTGTTCAGAACCATTCTACCACCCCTCGCGCAATGTGCGCATATCAAACAGTGAGTCCAAAGATGCGCAATAAATTGAATGCTTGATTCCACGGCCCGCTTATCTACATAAACAACTCTGTGATGCTTCTCTAAAAGCATTTGATAGGGTCCCACACGTCCCGCTGCTCCACAAACTCAAGGGAAAATCCTTCGCTGGATCAAGGCGTTCCTATCAGACAGATCATTCCGAGTGAGAATAGGCTCGACCTACTCCTCTCCAGCGCCGGTCTCCATTGGAGTTCATCAGGGCTCCGTCCTGGGATCACTCCTGTTTCTGATCTACGTCACCGACCTCCAAGACGTTCTTACGAGTCCAAGCCTACTTTTTGCGGTCGACTTGAAATCCTGGAGTTCCAATGCCAGTGCCCTCCAAATGGATGTAGACGCTGTCAAGCAGTGGTCGTTGGACTGGCACTTTCCTCTGAATGATGAAAAGTGCGTCCATGTGTCGTTTGGAGGGGATTCTGCGAATGCATTTGTTATGCATGGTGAAAAGAGACCAGAAGACATCACGAGGATAGATGCCAAAAAAGATTTGGGCATCTGGGTCTCCTCAAACTTGTCCTTCTCACTGCGCCATGAGAAATCGGCCCAAAAGGCATTCGCCATTTTACGGCTGAGAACATAAAGAGCAGTGCTACACCCTTTTTTCACTTGTGCCTTTCATGTGAACGACAGCCACTGACCGACAAGAACAAAACCGACCCGGGAGACTTGGGCAATAGCCTCGATCCTGTGTATCAATCCGTGAATCCGTGAATCCGTGAAGTGCTTCCTATAACCTCTCGACTGAGCAGTGCTACACCCTTTTTTCACTTGTGCCTTTCAGGTGAACGACAGCCACTGACTGACAAGAACAAAACTGACCCGGGAAACTTGGGCAAAAGCCTGGATCCTGTGTATCAATCCGTGAATCCGTGAATCCGTGAAGTGCTTCCTATAACCTCTCGACTGAGCAGTGCTACACCCTTTTTTCACTTGTGCCTTTCAGGTGAACGACAGCCACTGACCGACAAGAACAAAACCGACCCGGGAAACTTGGGCAAAAGCCTCGATCCTGTGTATCAATCCGTGAATCCGTGAATCTACATGACAGGGCGGTTCACGCTAACGCCTAATCGTCATTCAGCCATAGTAAACAGACTCTCAACACCTCCGATATGTTCCGTTGACCCAAAGGGTAGCTGCCTTTTCTTTTGCCTCCTTGACTTACCTCTTCCACTCGCTGTTCACTGCTTGCTGGTTCTAAATCACTGAGCCGTTTTACTGGTTTCACTTCCTCCCAACCGGATAAAATATCCGGTAGCTGTAGTTATTTATTGATGGACAGTTTGCAGTGATGACCGCCTGGCTCTTGTCACCCAGCAGGTCTGGTAGCATGCAAGAGGGGCAAAAACCGCGCGTGGTGGACGGGTGTGCCTTTTAGCGAGGATAGACTTGTTGCGTCGTGCCACGGTGGGTTCGCATACTCCCAACCTTCCAGTGGCATGGGTGCATCGCTCGTCGTTGCGGGTTCTGAGCCTGAAATTTTACTCGGCTGTTGTTTGTCAATAGTTCGTCTGGATCTGTCCGTGTTATTATTTTGTCGGGCAGCATCAAGAAATGCAAAAAAATCCATTCCTCAGATTGGTCTAAACATATATATGCATGTGGTAGACCGAAGGGACTCCGCGAGGCTCACGGTTATCCCTGGTGTGCAGGGCGTTGGCAACCTCGCCTTAGATGGGATTGCACCAGCAAAAGTCCATTGCATCCTCATGGCAATACACTGTGCCATCTGCTGGTAATGTAATGGAATATTGGTACCCCGGGTCTATTGGTTGGTAATTGATCAAGAGGCTGTTGATCTATTCGCCGAGCTTGGCAATTGCTTTGCAAACGTTTCGTCACCATTCGAGGAGACATTTTTAGTGCGCTGTTGGTTGGGTAGTTCCTCTCTCCGTGCCTGCGTTTATATAGTCTAAAAAGAGCCGCCTCTGCACTGTAACCTGAATTCTGATTGGCCCGTTCTCGATCTGTATTGCGTCGTGGTCGGCTTCTCTGTTGGTTTGTGGCGTGCCTCCTATTTTTAGTAGCTTGCTGTTCTATTGATTTCTTCTTTGAGTCCTTGTTTGGCCTCGGGTTCTGTGGTTCTGGATTTCCTTTGTCCTCAGAGGCTGGTAGGCAGGAGCACACTCAATGCGCCTGTTTATTGCTCCATCAGTGGCGTAACACGCCTCCATGAACTCGCGTTCATTCTTTGTTTTTGCCCGTCTTAGTACTCTGACGTTATTCCAATCGAAATGGTGTCCTCCATCTTCGTGTGCAGGGATGAGATAGAGTTGGTCGTGTCTCCTGGTGGCGAGTTTGTGTTCGGTGATTCTGGTTGACAGGTTCCTCCCTGTTAGTCCCACGTAGTGTTTTTCACAATAGTTGCATTGAATTTTGTAGATTACGTTTGTCTCTTCCATCGCATTAAGTGTCCCCTTTGGTTTTGATAGTACTCGTCGCAGCGTGCCAGTCGGTCTGTGGG